GAGAGAGAGAGAGAGAGAGAGAGAGAAAAGACAGAGAAAGAAAAACGAAAGACGTACAGACAGATATAGAGACCGACAGACAGACAGACATACAGACAGACACAGAGATCGGTTGCTCGGCCCACCCACTGACCGCCCCACATTGGATAGCTCCTGAGGTTGTGGTTAGGTTAGTTGGTTAGATAGAAGAGAGAGAGTACATGCGTGCGTGCGTGCATGCGTGTGTGCGTGCGTGTGTGTGTTTGTGACCCGGAGATAGAGAAAAAGAGCGAGAGAGAGTTAAAGTGAGAGAGAGAGACAGAGACAGAGACAGAGACAGAGAGAGAGACAGAGAGACAAAGAGTGTGAAAGAAAGTGAGAGGGAGTTAGAGTGCGCTATTCTTTAAAATGGAGCTGTCAAATTAAAAATGTGTGTGTGTATGAGTGTGTGTGTGTCTGTGTGTGTGTGTTTCTGTGTCTGTGTGTCTGTGTGTCTGTGTGTTTCTGTGTCTGTGTGTCTGTGTGTCTGTGTGTTTCTGTGTCTGTGTGTCTGTGTGTTTCTGTGTCTGTGTGTCTGTGTGTCTGTGTGTTTCTGTGTTTGTGTGTGTTTGTGTGTGTATGAGTGTGTGTGTGTATGAGTGTGTGTGTTTCTGTGTCTGTGTGTGTGTGTCTGTGTGTGTGTGTCTGTCTGTGTGTGTGTGTCTGTGTGTGTCTGTGTGTGTGTGTGTCTGTGTGTGTGTCTGTGTGTTTCTGTGTGTGTGTGTTTGTGTTTAGGTGCTTTCTCTCTCTGTATATCTTTCGATTTCTTTCTCTTTTCTACCTCTCTATCTTACCCTATCTCTCAATCTCTCCCTCTCTCTGTCTCTGTCTCTCTGTCACTCTCTGTCTTACTCTATTTCCCTCTCTCAATCTCTCTCTATCTTACTCTATTTCCCTCTCTCTATCTCTCTCTATCTCCCTTACTCTATCTCCCTCTCTCTATCTATCTCTCTATCTCTCTCTATCTCTCTCTATCTCTCTCTATCTTACTCTATTTCCCTCTCCCTCTCTCTCTCTATCTCTCTCTATCTCTCTCTATCTTTCCCTCTCTCTCTCTCTATCTCTCTCTATC